AGGCCTGGGTCCTGGGCACCATTGGAGGTGGGGGGCACAAGGGTCTGTGTCCTTGTGCGTGACTGGCAAGGGACACAGGCCTCCTTCCAGAGCCTGCAGGGAGGGACCCAGCCAGTGACCCCTTCCAGGCCGCTTTGCCCATCTCAGAGAGAAGCCAAGAATGTTCTTTTAAAGGTATCTTTTTAGCTCAGACACTACATGAAAGAGTCACGAAGTGGTGTAGCAGGTCCTTCCCCAGAGCACTGCTCCCTCCCCGGCAGCCCCAGCCCTGGCCACCCCACACAGACCCAGACCTACCCTACTGGGGCTTCAGCTTTTGTCTTGTAGATCAGCTGCTGGGTGGCTGGTCCCAGGTGTTGACGGTTCTGGTGGGCCTGGGTCCCTGGGCCAGGCTGGCGGGGGTGACACCTGGGTCCTTGGCTTCCCAGGCTGGCGGGGATGACACCGGCTGTGTCCTCTCAGAGCAGAAGGTCTGCGCCTGTGCCCCCTGTGCCTGCGCCCTGCGGGGACGAGGGAGGGTGCTCAGGGGACCCTTGAGATCCGAGCTGGGTTGGTAAAAAGCTGGGCTTGGTCCCAGGGCGAAGGGGAGCAGGCACCTCGGAGCTTGAGCCGGGAAGAAACCGGGGAGTGAGAAAGGCCCACAGCAGGCCGGCAGGAGCGCGGGGCCTGGCAGCACCGAGCCAGTGGAGCCGCAGGCAGAGGACACCAGCCGGGCTCAGGCTTGGTGGGCTGAGTCGAATGAATCTGTGAGCCAGGAGACCAGCCCTGCTTTGGTGCCTTAGCAGCCGCAGGTGGGGGTCGCCTCTGGGGGCTGAAGTTACTGCTGGCCACACTCTTCTGGCACCAGGATATTCTCAGGCTGCTGGTAGGACCCTTCCTACCTTGGGTAGCCGGAAGTAGGGGCAAAGAGAGGGCTGTAGGGGAGAACCCAGTCGCTGTCCTAGCTGGGGGCAGGGCTGACGATCTTTTTGAGCTTCAGGGTGACCCGGCCTCCCGCCTGTCCCTTCAACCACACTTCTGACTAAATAAGGCTAGGCGGAGGCTCTCGGAGCAGTCCCGAGGGGGAGGGAGAACATGCGTGCCCCCCTCTGGCCTGGCATGGCCCCAGGGCCCTGGTGGCTCTGCAGTGGGCATCCCAAGGTGACCTCAGCTTCCTTCCTACCTCTGAAGAGTCCGAGCTGCGCGTTTGAGTGCGGTGGGTGGCTCCTCCGACAGGCACTTCTGCCAGGGCAGAAAGCAGAGGGTGGGTCTCCAAATGCACCACTGATGTGACTGTCCCTCAAGCATCCCCCCAAAGGAAGAAAGCCCACCTCTGAAATGGAGTTTCACCCCAAAGCCTTGCCTATTCCCAACTTGGGAAGCAGGCCTGAGGAATGGTGGAAAGCCCCTAGCGGAGCCAAAGGGAGCCCTGGGTTGGTCCTTAATAGAGACCCTCAGCAAGGATTTGAAATCCAGTCTGGTCTTGCAGGGATTGGGGAGTGCAAAGAGACTTTTTAAAAAATGCTCCCCATCCCCAAATTTACAAGTCTGCATGCAGCACCCGGCATGCTCGGCTGGAGGCTGCCTCCTGTCTATAGGCACACCCGTGACAGGCCAGAAGGCCTGGGACGGGAGACAGCAGGAGGCTGGTGGGAAGGGGAAGGGGGGCAGTGGTGGGTGGGGGGAGACAGGCCAGATGTTCCTGGAATGGGACACAGGGGTGATTGATGTGGACTGGAATCTGAAAGGGGAACATTCCCCACGTGCCTCGTGCTCTGCGTGGAAATGGGCTGCCTTTCTTGGGGGTGGGGGCCTCCCTGTCTTGCCAAGTTTATGTGAAGATGCCTAGGCCCTGCCTGGGTCCCCACACCAGTCCGGTGTCATTAACCCCTGCCTCCCCCGAGTGTCAGGATTTGGGATGCCCCCCTCTCTATTCCGGGTCTTTCAGCAGGGTGACAGTAGGGAGAAGAAATGCCTGCTGTTCTGGCACCCAGGATTCCTACATCCTACTGCCCCCAGCAGTGCACCCACTCTGGCACCCCCACCAACAAGCCCCGCTAGGGTCTCTGCCCCTCACTTCCAACATGGCCCAGTGCTGAGGGGGTGGCCTTGTTCCCAGCAGCACCATGTACCTGTGTGTGGGTTCAATATTTGCCTGTAAGGAGCTGGACTCTTCCCAGCCGGGGTGAGAGGCTTGTGAAAATTCTCTTTGAGAAAACGAAAGGAGAGCTCTAGCTCTCCCAGCCACCGTACAGTTCTGCGCCCCCCCCCCTGCTCTTCCCCCCATTTTCTCCTTTGCTTCCCCGTTTTCTCTCCTCTTTGTTTTGCCCAAACAAAGCTGGTTTCGCCCTTGTTTGGGGGCTGGCGAAGGCCGAACGGC